TCTAGACCATCCAGGGCTTTTCTGTGGCCCAGAGTAAGGAACACAGCGAGACTTGGCTGCTCCAGACCACAGTCGTGCGTCTGTTCATAGTCCCCTGGTTTGTGCCGGAAATGGCCATTCATGCAGAGCCTGGGGCCATTTGCCCCAGTCACTCTTCTCAGATTTCTAGGCTTGTCTAACTTGGATCTTGCCACTGAGAAAATCACAGGGATCATCCAGGCTGAGACAGGGTGGAAAATGAGCCCACCCCTAGCAGGGTTCAGCCCAGATAGCACCCTGCTTTTCAACACTCTTGTCCACTTCCAAGGTAAGGCAGTCCTCAGGTCTGCTCTAGCCCTGACCTGGGTGTTAAGGGTGGCAGTACTCCGTCCTCATGGAATTAGGGTTCAATTCCCAAGTGACAGGATCCCTTCCCTTGTGAGGCCAGGCTATGTGGCCATGTGATCATGTAGGTCACTTTGCAAGGACTGGGCTAACTGTCCCATGAGAGAACTTATTTGCTTATTTAAATCACTTTCATGCTGAAAGTATTGTGAAAACAAGTGTGCTACAAAGATGGTTCACTCGTTCTACAAATGGTTGATGAACCTCTGCTCCTTGTAAGGCTCTGACCAGGCACCGCAAGGTGGAATGGTCTGTAGGCTCTGTGCCTCTGCTCGCTGTCAATGTGAAAAGGGAGAAAAGGTGTGCAAACAGATCCAGGCACGCCTGCGTGTTAAGCTGCAAGTGGAAGTGTTCTAGAAGAGCTCCATGAACTGCCGAGAGCCAGCAGGAGAGGGCCTTAGGGGAAGATTCAGTGGGACACCCAGAGGTGAGATTATGGCCAGGAGGAGGGATGGAGTTCAAGATGAAGATAGAGAGTGAGAAGGAATTTGTCTGACCACAGCATAAAATGGAAATGATACCAGGGGAAGGCAGACTTTAAAAGACCACATTTTAAGAGCCTTTGTGACTTCAAGAGACGTATACATTGGAGTCACTTGTGGGTGGGCTGTTGAACAGGCACAGTAATGCTTGGCAGCCATTATGGTGGCCTGCAGTGTGTGGACTGGAGGCAGGGAGGGCAGCCTGCAGGTTATGCAACAGACCAGGCAAACTGTACCAGTGACACGCACATCAGGAGTCCACAGGCAGTGGGCTGAAGGACAAGTGCTTGATGAGGCTGACCTAGAAGATGGGCAACCTGGGGTCAGAGAGAAATAGGAAGCTGAGAGCTGGGCCCGAGGTTATGTAGAACATTGGTTATCTGCAGTGATACTGCCCTTGGAGGCCTGTGAAGAGGAAGAGGAACCTCCAGCCCCACGTGAGAGATAATGGGCTGAGGTTTTGATCATGAGCCAGCACTGAAGGCACCATCCTTTCCGTGAAGGTTTTGGGGCGCTGAGCCTGGCTGCTCTGTCGGAGGAGCTCCAGGAGGAGGGTCGGTGAAGAAATGGGCCCAGCACACCAAGGTGACAAGAGAGCATAGAGCTCAGGGTGGAAGTGTCATTTCCCAAAGGTGTCCGCCTACTGGATGGTGGCTCCAGAGCTGGAAAAGAAGTGGAAAAGCAAAGTGGAAAGTGGGAAACTGTAGCCCGCCCTCAGGCTGCAGTTCACCTCCAAATTAGCCCATCTTCCAATGGTGCCTGTTCCCGTTGATGAACTATGAGCAGTGGACAGCCACTATCTGCATCCTGGGCTGTGACCAACCCTTGGTGCAGAGTGTGAGCCAGCCAGGGTGCCTGGCAGGGCTTCAGGATGGACAGGTGGCCTCAGATGGCAGGCTTGGATTTGCCATCAACCTTTAACTTCCCTTGTTTGTGCATGTTGTGTGGGAGAGAAGTTGCTTTTCCACAGTATAAGAAATGCATAGAAACTCTGCTGCCCCAGGCTTCCCAAGGTGGCTGGTTGTAATGTGAAGAATAAGACATGGAGCCAAGGACCCCCAGGGTTGGCCCTGGAAGGAGTCTGAACACACTAATCCATTTTAGAAAGCAAGAAGGGTTTCCCTTTTAATGGGAAAATAGTCACTGAGCTTTGAACTGAAACAGACACTTTTTATTTAGATAATTCCCTCACTGAATGTGAGAAAATGAGTAAGATTGATACATAGTCTTCATGATACTTTAGTTTTTCTTCCATGTACCATTTATGATTTTTTAAAAAATTCCTTATGAAAAACAGAAACATCTTACTTCATGTTAGAATGTAAGATCATGATTGGTTACTCCTTGTGCTATTAATAAATGTTATGTACCAACAACAAGCAAGCAAAAAAAAAAATTCTTTCACCCTGCCGCGGAACAGTAGGTTAGCTGAGATAATGAAGTGTGTTGTGAGTGGTGTTTCAGATGGGATTTCCATTGAGGGCCTGGGCTAGTACCTCCCAGTCAAAAGTAGCTCCTGACTTCTCAGTGAGAAGTTTTAGGGGGTGTCTTTCTCTGGACACTTCCATTCACAAGCAGTGGTGGTCAGTGGTGGTGGATCGGTATAATGGGTAGACAGGCACCTGGGTTTGGGGTTAGGGACACTGGATCACACTGCAGCTGATAAATGGATGAGGCAGGCTGGCACTTCCCCCTACTGGTGACATAGGTTCACGTCTTCACAGATAACTATTTGCCAAGTGTTTTTTATTGAGTGTCTCTGCCAGCACCCTCAGTGAAATCAGACTTACACCTCAGTCTTGGACTAGGCCAGATGAGGGCTGGCCTATGGCCACTAGATAATAACCATGAAGATGATTCCTCCTGTGTAAAGCACTTCCTCTTCCCTTTCTGCATCTATAAACTTTGGAATAATTGCATACATGTTAGCTATTGATAAACACTGAGACAAACACAAAAGTATCCAAGGGTGGGATAGGGATGGTGGTTTTCATCAAAAGCGATGAAATTTTTTAACTTTGGTAAGAGTGCTGCTAACACAGTGGTTCTTAACCAAAAGATTGACATTTCAAACCTACCAGTTACTACATGAGAGGAAAGGTGCGGCAGTCGGCTTCCATACGGAATATACGGCCTTGGATGCCCCATGGCTGGTTCTACTTTTCTACAGGGTTGGAATTGACTTGGCAGCCCTGGATTTAGTTGAAAGGGTACACTTAAGTGATTTCAGAGATTTCAGCAGAGTGTCTATGGGACCTTTAGTCCAGGTTAATAACGTTCCAGGGCTTGTCAGGGGCAGACTGTACAACGAGGTCATGTTGACAGGGGTAGCTCTTTTGACTCAGACACGCGGCTGGGTCAGGGCAGAAAATAGCAAAGAAAATCCCTAAAATGTAAAGGCAAGGTGTGAGACAGCTTCTCAGTTTCTTGTCTCAGGTCTGTGTCATTCACTCCATTTGGTCCTTGCCTTCACTGCTGGCATGAGTCAGCCTGACCAGGCTCTGTGGCCAGGCCTAGTGAAGGTGGCTGGGCATGGAGGTCTGGGATGAGCTGGGTGTGAAGTGGGGTGCATAGCTGGCTGAGTCTCAGAGCCCTCACTGGCAAACGGAAAAAGCTTGAGTGAAGCCATGGATATCCACTCCGATGGCCATGACACTCTGCATGAAAGAGAAAACCAGCTGCCCACAGTTCCTCCTCTATGGAAGAAGGGCAGCAAGAGAGGACTGTACAGGTGGGCACCTGGCCAGCCTCAGGGGCAGCTTCACATCTTCATTCGTTTTCTAAAGATTGCCCTAGTGTGTTCTGGGCAGGTCTTTGAACCTCTTGTTCGTGGTTCAGTCATGGCTAATGAACCAAACCAGAACAGATCTGAATTTGTAAAATGTGGGTGAACCAGAATTGTAACCAGAATGGAAAAATGGTACCAGGTGATCTTGGCCATGGTCTTTGCAATCACTTGCTATGCATCAGAGAGCTGGACAATGAGTACAATCGATGCTTGTGAGTTGTGATGCTGGACAAGAGTACTGGATCACCAAGAGAATAAACAGGTGTGTCCTGGAGAGGTTGAAACCAAGTCACCCCTTGGAGGTAAGAATTTTTAAGCTCCTTCTCACATACTTTGGGTATGCTGCCAGGAGGGATGAGTCCTGGGAGAAGGACATCATGCTTGGAAGGGTGGAGGAAAAAGGCACAGGAGAGGAAAACTCTGGATGAGATGGACTGACAGTAATTGGAATTATGGGGGTAGGTGGGTCTGAGACAGTTATACTGTCTCAGGATGGGGCAGGGTTCAGAGCTGTTGTGCACAGGGTGGCTATGAGCTGCAGGCAACATAATAATGAGAATACTTTCTCCACCCTATAACCATGATGATCTTACAGAAAGAGTAGTTACCTAGTGACGTCCATGGTAAGGTGCATTAATTCTTGTCCCATGGAGAACTTCCAGTATGGGGCTGTCACTGCCAGAACCCTTGACTAGGTACTAGTCTATTCCCTATAAGGGAACACTTGTCATTAAAAGGCACAAGTAATTAAGAATATTTAACATATGGTGAATTTGAAAATAAGAAGTGTGCACACTTTCAGAAGACATGTCTTTTATTCAGGAAATGTAAATTTTCCTACCATTGTGGGCCCTGACAGAGTTGTGGGGAATAAGCAATATTGGAAGCCCAGTCCTTGAACCCAGTGTTGACAGGGACCCCATTTCAGAGCCTCTTTTAGAAAGTCATACATCAACAGTCACTGTCATTTCGGAGAAGGGCTCTTCCATACAGTAAGCTATGTTAGTCTCCATGTAGTAGTTGGGAGATGACTTTTTACATTCATACTGACTTCAGTCATTTTAGAAATCAACTCTTGCATGCTAAGATATACAACAAAAATAAAACACTTTTCCCCCCCCTGTAAACTATAGTACAAAGTTTCAAATGTCTTAAAAACTATCTTCCACACAATGGAAAAAGGCTTTGTGTTCTTTTTGGGTGAAAGAACACCCAGATATACCAAGAGAAGATGGAATGGCAGGTGGCTGGAGACGCACTGGAAGCACTTCTTTGCTGTAGACTTGGTCACAGAACAGATCCACTTTTTCCCAATGGGATATACGTCCAACTTGCCCTTCAGGGTCCTTCCAAGGTGCTTAAGGCTGCTCTGCTGTTGCCTGGTCCTTGGCTGCAACAACAAGCTCTGTGAGAGCTGGGAAGCTTTTTATGTTGCTTGTTTGCAGGCCCAGCTTTTGTATCTGCCAAAGTCATGAGAGAAGAAATTACATTACTGTGAGCTAAACTGAAGGCAGAGAGAAAACCCACCCAAACCCTCAAAATCAAAAACCTTTTAAAAACCTAAACAAGAACCCACTCTGTTGACTTTAGTTAGAAAAACAAACGGAAAAAACCCAGCTTCCTAACAATTTATAATATAATAATATAAGGGGTCAAACATTTAGTATTCTAAGTAGACAGTATGTTCAGTTATCTCAGGTCATCAAATCAAATCATTTCCTACAAACAGCCTTATAGGGACTTAAAAACAAAACATATTGGAGAAAAAAAATTCATCATGAGAAAAATAATAAACTGGACTATTTTTTAAAGGAGACAAAACAGAAGTGTTAACTCAAAGTCTTAATTTTGATGCTTAACATTAATGTAGTTTCTTAGAATCTGATGAACTGAAAACACTTTGGCACAAGTATTTGGATTTTTCTGGTACTGAATACATGGTATAATGCTTCTGCTTGGTTTGGGGGGTTTTAAAAACACTTTTCTTATTAACTTGTTTTAATTGTGTTCCATACACTCCTTCATTTTCATTATATTTTGTTCATTTATATTGTGAGGTATTTTTATTCACTTCTGCTTTTGTTAAAAAACAAACAAAAAACCACACACACAAACCCTTCCAGAGAAATATTCAGGAAGATGTATGCCATTGTGTTTAGGATTAGTCCTTGGGGCTGGGATTACTGAGGATACTCTGTCTTTTCCATCCTCTCCTTCTCCCTAGCCTCTTTTTCTTTCTTTTACATACCTATTCGTCTTCCTTCTGTATAAACACTTTCTTACTCGTAAAAAGACAAAGTGTTTGTTAAATAAAGAAACATAACAACTGAAGCAGAAAAATGTAGGTTTTTCAGTGACATTCCTGAGGTATAAAATAAAACTTAAATCAATTAGAAAATCATGCTTCTGGATGGAAATTTTACAATTTCCTTTGTTTCTGGGAAAACAGTTCTTCCTTGAGCATCTACTACTGTATGGTAAACCTGACCTATCTCTGAACATCTAAAATGTTGTATGACACTACAAGGAAGTTACTTTAGTGACACAAGTACATGTTATCCTTATCTGCTTCCCAAGTGATTACACATCAGCACTCATCTGTGTGTCACGATTCTAAAATCTGTTATAGGACCCTGTAAAACAGGCAGAGATATGGAAGTTACACGCTTTTCCAAGTAATACAGAAAGATGAAGGCTTTTCCAGTTCTTCTATGTTAAGCTAACACATATTTCACAAGGTGGTGACTCACTACTAATTATGTCTCATGTACTTTCTAGACAGTAGACAAAAAGGACAGTTGTCTGTCCTTGTCGGCTTACAGTTGAGTGAGTTTTAGGAAAATGAGTGCTAGTGAACAACAGCCCAATCATTAATTCATGAGATTTCAGAAATTCTCTGAATTTTTGAAAATGTTTTATAGTTTTTCTGTATCTTCTTTTTCAAGTCTTAGGTACCAAAAAAAAGGGAGTATCATGCTTGGGAAAATAGATGGTCAGCGAAGGAGAGGAAGACCTCCAACAAGATGGTTTGACACTGACTTCAGCAGTGAGCTCTAGTGTGTCAGAGATAATGAAGATGGCACAGGATAGGGCAAGGTTCAGGCCTGTTGTTCTCACTGGGTTGCTATGAGTACTTGAAAGCACCTACCAACAACAAGAAAGTACAAACTATTGAGTTTTACGTATTTCAGAGCCCTGACACTTTTCTTCTTAACATTTGGGAAGTCAATTCTCTAGTCATCTTAATGGCGTCTCGGCTTACTGAAGCACCAGCACTGGAACGGATTTCAGACGTGCTGATCTGACAGCGCTGTTACCTGCTCTCCTAAGTACTCGACATCCAAGGCCAACTGCAGCCTGATCTTGCTGTCATCACTCACGCCTCCACTGGAGCCCATTGGGTTGGCCGGGGTGCTTTTTCTAGCTTGCTTCAGCCTTTTCAGGCTCTCTTCCATTTTCTTCACTGAATTCAGGACATCTGACACAGTTTCATAGTACCTTAAGAATAAGAAACATTTACCAGTGAAACAGAAGCATTTTTGTATAGGATCCAGTATAGTAATTGGCATTTTTTGGGGGGGAAATTTTTTTAAGTTGAAACAATCTCCAACAAAGCATTAAGGCATGGTAAATATTTACTTCTTCCTAAGACTGTGACAATAATAGGCTTTTAACTTTTCTGTACTGCATTCTGGCATATCAAGAGAGAGGTACAGGGGATTTATTTAGAATTAATCCTCAAGACTAATAGAAAATCAAACTGTCTTTCATGTATCAGGGTGAAAATATATAGTTTAATCCCTAAATGTAAACAATTTCTAAGAGCAGCTTATCTTTTAATGAGAAAAAGTATTTAAAAATTTAAAATAACATTAACTGCTTTCAAATATACATGGGCATGGTTTAATTTCTAAATTATAAAAGTGTTATATTTCAAAACTTTGTTCACAAAGTGCAACAATGAATGAATGGAAATCCAAAATCTCTGTAAACTTTCATTAAAATTAATATAAAAAAAAACCCTTTGTTCATAAATCAGTTACTTAGAGATCTGGAATACATTTGCCTATAAAAACAATATAAATTACTGCTATGTTCTAAACTACCCCACGAATGACTAGTTAAATCAAAATAATAAAATGCTTTATAAAATTAATAATTAAACAATACTTAATAAGTCAATGGAATGTTTTTAATATCCTCAATACTGTCATTTGTGAAAAAGGAGGTTTAATTAGACATAAATTCAATCACAGTAACTCTCAAGGGTTTTAGATACTGGTTCTTTATCTAGTTTAACTACATCAAAATGTCTTGCATTCTCTCCACTGATTATAGGATCTTCTCAATCTACATCCTTGATTACCTGGCATGACGAGAGCTACTGGACAGGTAGGCCTGGGAAGAGGAGGAGTATTAAAGGGAAAGATGCTGTCTGCGGGGATGGTATTAAGAGCAACGAATAGAGGCATATAGAGAGGGAGCACGAGATAATCTTGTAAGCCGAGGTGGGATACAAAGCTGAGGCAGCACATAGCCTGAGAGACCAGGAGCAGGCAAACAGACCAGCTTTGTTACAGTTATAGGAAAAAGGTGTCCTTGGGCCTGTGTGTGGAGTGGGACTGAACACAAACCTCAGTCTGCAACACAAATGGGCATTCTGAGTCAGACACTGGAACTAATCAGTGTCCAGCAACTTCATCTACAAACATCCCAACAGACTTGGTGATCTCTCCTTGGGACTCTCCTAAGAAAGTACCACATATTATGTTTTGAAGTTACTTACTTATGAGTGCTCTCAGAAAGTGCTCCTTCTAGCCACTGCTGAATTATTGCTTGCTGGACTTTATCCTTGTGTTCATTCTGAAGCTGGTAAAAGGGCTTCAAAGCACTGTCCACATAGGAGGAAGCTTTAGTGGGAGCCTCCTGTAAGAATGTTAGTAGTGATTAAATATGCACAGAAGAAAAGAAGTCAAAGAATAACAGTAAACCTAACATCAAGTTAAAAGGTTAATATCCCTGCCTTTTAAAAGTAAGAATACCACATAATTATACATGGAGAACAAGTCTAAAAAACCACACAGGTGAGAATGGTGTTTGAAGTCAGACTAGATTCAGCTGTTCATCTACCCATTTATAAATTAATTACCTATGACAGTCCATACACATCACTAGGGATCTCACTAAGTTCAAATTCTGATTGAGCAGATGTTTGATGTCACAGTTTGCATTTCTACAAAGCACCCACGAGGTGGTACCAATGCTGCCAGTTAATGGATCAAGGTTTGCATTTGTTCAGTTCTTTGAACTTGAGATATACCAAGTGTTTTCTTCTCTCTTGATTTTTTAACTCCATCTCCTTGCACACGTTCTTGCACTATTTTGCTGTCTTCTCAATCTGACCTTTGAAATCTGTTAAACTCTCTTACTTGAGCATTTCTCCCCTTTATTTTGGACTCTCTACATTCTAGCTTGTGTGTCAATCTTTTCTAACATCCATTTTTCTTCCCTGTCTTTATAATGACCTTTCACTTTTTTGTATGGATGATGTCCTTGATGTCATCCCACAACTTACCTGGTATTTGATCATTAGTGTTCAATACATCAAATCTATCCATTAGATGGTTTTCAGATTTGATTTTGTCAAATTGTTTTCCTTTTCTTCAGCTTCAATTTGCATTTCCACATCCCAGTCAGGCCCTGGCCTTATCTTGAGGATGGATTTTGAGTTTTTCCATCAACTCTTTCACAGATGTATTCAATTTGACTCCTGTATAGTCCATCAGTTGAGGTCCACACATATAGTCACTTTTGAGGTATTTGCAATGAATAAATCATTGTACAAAATTCTATCATTTAACCTCCAGCACCATTTCGATCAACAAGGACATATTTTCCAAGTGCCAACATTTCCATTCCAGTCACAATCATGATGAATGTGTTGATTGCATGTCCTATCAATTTCGGGCTATAAAAGTTGGTAAAAGTCTTCAATTTCTTTTTCTTTGGTGTTAGTGGTTGGTGCATATCCAAGTGTTCTTCCTTGTATGTGCATGGATAGTATCCTATCACTCACAGCATGATAATCCAGGATAGACTTTGAAATGATGTGACTGTCTATGCATCACCATTCCTCTCCAAATTGCCATTCCTGGCATAACAGATCATATGACTGCCTGATTAAAAATGGCCACTACCATTCCAACTAGCTCCATTAATGTCTGTTGTTGTTACTATGTGCTGTTGAGTCACCTGCAACCCACAGTGACCCTATGTACAACAGCTCTGATGCCTGCCCTGTCGAGCCAGTCTCACTAACACACTAACCCCCAATCAATACCCCAGTTACTGTATCAATCCATCTTATCTGAGGTCTTCCTCTCCTGAGCTGTCCCTCCACCCTTCTGAATATGATATCCTTCTCTAAGGCCACATGCCCAAAGTATGTGAGATGGAGCTTCAAAATCCTAGCCTATAGGAGAAACTTGGTTTCATACTGTCACCTGATGAGAGGTGATGGTGGTGAGCATCACTCCCCTGATCTCCAGGAAGGTACGTGGTGGACAAGTGGGGATAAAGCATCTTTTTTCCAATCATCAGCTAGCTACTGTTGTGAGTACTGCCACCACTATCCTGGATTTCTATACCACAGAGACAGCTCTTCAAAATGGTCACATTAGGATGTTTACAGTCTGTGTTTCATTTTACTCTTTATTTGATGTTTTAATTAAGTATGAGTTACTTTCTCACGCTTTCTTTTTGAACTGTAAGTTTTAGAATTATCCATCTCTGTTGTCTTTTGTGGAGAGGGTCTAAATTGCTTTCTGTCTAGTCCACTATTGTAACCAGCACTCCACAATAACCTATTTTGCATGTTCCAAACTTTAAACTGAAATGGGAAAACAGCCATAAAGAGGTTGGTTAAAGCCTCAAGTCACCAAACACAACTCCTTCCACTAGATGGGGTGACGAATGCATTCAATTGACAAGGTTCTAACTCTGGCAGATTCACAAAAAGGCTGGCTCCAAACTAAGAATATGAAGTTTCAGATGATTAGATTCTAGAGTTCCTTGCCAGTTCACATTTTCACATGTACAATTCACAACATTAGTTTTATTAATGATATTGTACAATCATTACCACTACTCCATTCCAAACCGTTTTACCTCTACTAATAGAAACTAAATGCTCTCTAAGGTAAGATTGCTTCCCCTCTTCCTGCTGCTCCTTTTGCTGTTGTTAAGGAACTTCAAATGGACTTTGACTCAGAGTGAGCCTAGCAACAGACCAAAACATTGCCCTATCCTGCATCATCCGCACCATCTCTACTTCTAAGAACCACTAGCAAAACTTCATTTCTGAGAATAATCCTTAGTGCCTAAAATCTAACTCTGAGTGGAGAAAGAAAAGTGAGAATTATGTGAAATCTAACAAGGACAAAATGAGAATAAATGCTTGAAAATTGAGCTCAACAGAGAAAATCTAGAAACTGGTGAAACTAAATACCCCAATCACTGCTCTATATGGGAAACAAGAGACTTTGACTACCAGCATGTGCTCAATTTGGTCAAAAGCTGTGCTGCAATCTCAAAGGCATGTTGCTCACATCCACCACCTACTCCACGAGAGGGATGGGCAACTTCCTCCCGTGTGATTCACTGCTTTTGAAAACCCACCGGAGGGTCACCTACAGGGGTCAGTTCTGACTTGATGGTAAACAACAACTGCAAAGGTCTCTAATATTTTAAAATGTAGCTCTTGAAATCTTGTTCTTTTTTTAAAAAAAGAATCCATGAAAGCAGGTATTTCCAATAACAATATTAATGGAACAAGATACATTTATTTTTTAGTATGCTATATAAAGACAAAAAACAAATACTTCCAGGATTTTACTGGAGATAGCCATTTCTCCTCAAAACAAATGAGATTAATTAAGTTTCGGTCTCAGATTACTCCTAAGTCCTTTAGAGGAGCCTGAACTTCCTCCTCCATCACTATTGCCTCTTGATCATATATTGTTTCTTGAAATTCTTCTGTGTCAGCCAATATTTTTCGGTACAGTGACTCTGTATACTCCTTTCATCTTTTTATTGCTTCCTGAATCATTCAATATTCTGCCCATCACATCCTTAAGCATTGCAACTTGTGGCTTGAATTTGTTCTTCAGTTCTTTCAGCTTAAGAAATGTTGAGTGAATTCAGCCCTTTTGATTTTCTGACTCCAGATCTTTACCCTTTTCATTGTAATACTTTGCCTTGTCTTCCCGAGCTGTCCTTTGAAATCTTCTCTTCAGCTTCTTAACGTCTTGATTTTTTCCTTTCACTTGGGCTGTTCTGAAGGACTTGGCAAAAAATAAAGCCCCAGGAATTGATGAAATACTAATTGATGTATTTCAACAAACATATGCTGCTTCGGATGTGCTCACCAAGTTGTGCCAAGAAATCTAGAGGACAACTATTTGGCCAACTGAATGGAAGCGATCCATATTTATTCCCATTCAAAAAAAAAGGTGAACCAATAGTGTGGAAATTATTGAACAGTATCACCAATATCACACACTAGGAAAATCCTGCTGAAGATTATCCAGAAATGACTGGAACAGTACATTGACAGAGAACTACCAGAAATATAAGCTGGGTTTAGAAGAGGTTGTGACACCAGAGATATTATTGCCAATGCCAGATGGATCTTGGTAGAAAACAAAGAGTACCAGATGATTGTCTGTGTTTCATTGACTATGCAAAGGCATTTGACTGTGTGGTTCACAACAAACTGTGGCTAACCTTGAGGAAAATGGAAATCCCAGAACACTTGATTGTGCTTATGCAAAACCATAATACCTGTTATGCATCAGAGAGCTGGACAATGAATAAGGATGACAGAAGAAGAATTGATACTTTTGAATTGTGATGCTGGAGAAGAGTCTTGAACATTCCATAGACTGCCAAGAAAGCAAATAGGTCTGTCTTGGAGAGGGTGATACTAAGTCTCTCCTTTGAGGCTAGGATTTTGAAGCTCTGTCTCTTCGGGCATGTGGCCAGGAGAGACAGGTCCTTGGAGAAGGACATCATGCTCTGAAGGGTGGAGCAATAATGCAGGAAAGGAAGACCCCCTGATGAGACGGTTTGATACAGTGAATTGGGCAATGGGAGTTGGTGTGTCAGAATTAGTGAGACTGTCTCAGGACAGGGCAGGCTTCAGAGCTGCTGTACAGAGGGTCACTATGGGTCACAGGTAACTCAAGGGCACATAACAACAACAACAACATAACTCAGGTTACTCCTAGAAACCTATTTCTGTTTCTACTCCAACCATTCCCTCCTTCTTCTAGCTCATCTTAAACTTACTTACTTAGAAGATATTTCCCCATCTCAGATTCCCCACTCCCCACCCCCAGGCGATATCACTGACCTTATTGGTTCTTCGGTAGAGCCTTGGAACTTCTAAGGCACTTTTCAGGTAACTGAAACAAGAATCACCTAGATCTTGGATGATCTTGTCACTCAAAGCAGGCATACAGGCTGACAAAGAAAGCCGGGAGTCCTCAAGGGCAGCTGTTGAGATATATAGATGGCATTTAGTCCACTCACACCTAGGTGTATATTTTAAATACTACTATGAATTAAAAATGTATTATAATAAATCACTCAAATTATTAAAATTAAATATTAAATCTAATTTAGGGAAGTAGTTGTCAGAGAACAGAATCATAGATAGATACAGTAAAGGATTTAGAATTAGAGATGAAAATATTAATTAAATATATTTTACAATCTCTGATTTATTTTTTTATAATCGTAAATTAAAAAAAATATTTCTTATTAAAAAATTGCAGTCTAAAGATTCAATTTTACCTGTGATAGAAGAAAAATTCTTAAAGCCAATCATTTCAAGCTTTGGTCTGATTGTTTCCAAGAGTTCTGGAAGCTGAAATAAACATCATTTTAGAAGACCAGTTGCTTTACATAAATCAATTTACTCACTCATTCATTGCCATAAAGTTGGAATCAAGGCATAGCTGAGCCTCCAGCAGGTTTATGGAGGCTACAGATCTCACAAGAGGGACTGCCTGTCCTCCTTCTGATGAGCTGCTGGTGGATTTGAACCACCAGAAAGGCAGAGTGCCATTTTTGGGTAAGCAGTCCAACTCCATAAGGAAGACGCAGTACCATTTGCAAATTCTAAAACACTGTTGATAAATTAATTGTAAAACTAAAATTGACACTTGCAGTTAATTTTCTTATAAAATACCAACATTCTTAATTAATGTTTTAAAATTTTTAAGATGACTTAAACCATGAAAAACAACAGTGTTTAATGGTTATCAACAGTCACAGACAAAAAAACAAAACCATTTTGAATTTTATGGATCTCTGTGATACAAGCACATAATAAAGGCAATGGTGGTGGGTATGTTGTTATGTGCCGTCAAGTTGCTTGTGACTCATAGCGACCCTTTGTACAACAGCCCTGAAACCTGCTCTACCCTGTTCCAACTTGACTCTCTCTGACACACCTATCCTCCTTACCCGTTACCTATCAATCCCTCTCATCGATGGTCTCCCTCTCTGTCTCTGTCCCTCCAACACTCAAAGCATGATGTCCCTCTCCAAGGACTGGTCCCTCCTTGCAACATGCCCAAAGTAGGTCAGAGGAAGCCTCAGAATCCTTGCCTCCAAGGAGCAGTCTGATTTCACTCTCTCTAGGACGAACCTGTTCGTTCTCCTAGCAGTCCATGTTATATTCAACACTAAACTCCAGCACCACAGCTCAAAGGCATCAACTTTCTTTCTATCTTTCTTTCTTTCATTGTCCTGCTCTCTGATGCATAGTAAGCAACTGTGAAGACTATGGCCTGGATCAGGTGCACCTTAGTCTCCAGACTAACATTACTTTTTCAGTATTCTGGAGAGGTCCCTGACAGCCAACTTTCCCAATGCAATTTGTCTCTTGATTTCTTGGCTGTTGGTACCAAGAGTGTTGATTGTGGAGCCAAACAAACTAAAGCTGAATTGTTCAAAACACACAATATTATCTAAGCATCACACAAAGTATATAAACTTGAGGAAAGCAGAATTATATATTAAAGGATTTAAAAACTAAAATCCCAAAGATCTTTTAATGTTAAAAGCCAAACCAAATGAGATCTAAATGTTAAAAAAAAAAAGTTCAAATATCGTAACAACTTAAAAGTATAACCAAGGGTTAAATAGGAAATATTTAACTAAATAAAGGGGGAAAAAATTAAAGTAAAAAGTAAAGATTATGCCTGCACAAAATAAACTGAAATAATAATGAAAAAACCCAGTAGAGTATGACTCTGCTTAACTGTATTATTTCATCATTACTAAAAAGAAAAAGGAAGCACAGGGTCAGTTTATTAAAACATCAGAATACACTCCTAAGCAAGTAAGTGAAGAATCTATTCTTAGATATCTTACGTGGAAACTATCTGCTGTGGGGAGTTGGAGAACTACCTAGAAAGAAAGATGATGATGCCCCTCTTGAGCTACTCTGGGTCTTATAACTCTATGCTCCTTCCTACTACATAGAGCCGTTTGTTTTGTACACACAAGGTTCTGTGAAAATATGACTTTCTACTTAGAACTCTCTACAAACGTACCTGTTCCTGGAGCTTGGTCAGGTCTGCAACCACATACACAAGGTGAGTACTAGAAATGAAAACCACAGGCTTTGTTTCTGAAGGACCATTTCCTTGACCGTCATTACTTCCTGAAGTAATGGAAGGTTCTTTGCTACCAGTGACCAAAGGTTTCTTAGTATCTTTGGTACTTGCGTTAGAGATGGGTCTGAGTAAAAGCTGAAACAAAGATTTTAATGATTAAATACTTTCACAGGAGCAAAATACATAAACTTTTAGAACATATATGTGGGTTAACTACTATCCTAAAATGCTGCATTTCTACAATGTATTCATTAAGTATTTACTCATAAAGTACACCTATTGTTTCTCTACAGGCAAAACTAAAGGACAAACTACAAAACTATGCACATTTATTCTCTGATAACTTGTGTCATTAAAAAAGTAGTTAGTAGATTAAAAGTGACAGACAAATGATAAATAAGAAGTCAGTCCTCAAACCAAACAACATTAATTTATGGCACATCACATGTTTTAAAAAGTTAACGCTAATGGTAAATAATACAATAAATTTATCATTAGAATTTTTGTGTTCCATTAAGTTGGAACCAATTCATAAATGATCCTCCAGCCGATTTTCAGATACTATAAACTGAAAGAAGACTATCCATCTTTCTCCTTTGGAACAGCTGGTGGCTTCAAACCACGAGACTTTGGGCTGGCAGCACAATTTCTTTTCTTTTTTTTTTTTATGATGAGAAAAATTTATTACATTTAGAATTAGCCCGCTGGACTCAGTTTAGATGATCCCAATTTTGTTGGCAACATCCAAAGCATCATAATCAGGAGCAAGTCGAACATAGGCATTCTTCTCTCCATCAGGCCTAATCAAAGTGTTGACCTTAGCCACATCAATGTCATAGAGCTTCTTTACAGCTTGTTTAATTTGGTGCTTATTGGCCTTGACATCCACAATGAACACAAGTGTGTTGTTATCTTCTATCTTCTTCATAGCTGACTCAGTGGTCAGGGGAAATTTGATGATGGCATAGTGGTCAAGCTTGTTTCTCCTGGGAGCACTCTTCCGGGAGTATTTGGGCTGTCGTCGGAGTCTCAGCGTCTTAGGCCGCCGGAACGTGGGTGACGTGCGGATCTTCTTTTTTTTTTTTTGGCTGTGGACGCCCTTCAGGACTGCCTTCTTGGCCTTCAATGCCTTTGCTTTAGCTTCAGTTTTGGGAGGGGCAGGGGCTTCCTTCTTCGCTTTCAGTGCCATCTTCGTAGAAAACGCAGCACAGTTTCTTATCCACTAGGCCATCAAAGCGCTAATTATAATTAGAAAATATGTGTGTGTGTGTGTGTGTGTGTGTGTGTGTGTGTATGTATGTGTGTGTGTGTGTGTGTGTGTGTGTGTGTGTGTGTGTATATAGTTGTTTTGTACCATCAAGTCAGAAGTGACCTATAGCTGACCCTTCAGCAGGTTTTCAGAGGGAGTTCATCATGGGGGAGGAGAATACTCAAATTTCTCCTGTGGATGAGCTGACAGACTTTAACTATGTACCTTAACATTGGTAGTGTAATTCCTTACCAATAAGCCAAAGTTTCCTAATTAAAACTACCAACGGTAATGTTGTTGTGTACTGGAGAGTCAGGACTGATCCCTAGCTGACCCTCCAGCTGGTAGCCTCCAACTATGTAGGTTATGTGTGTGTGTGTGTGTGTGTGTGTAGATTAAATTTTATTTCAATGAAAAAAATCTGTAAACGCCAAAACTACTATAAGGTAGAAACCTACCAGGGAAGAAAAACTCAAGTATTTTCTACTAAAAGGAACAATAAGAAAAATTGTTAAATGGCACTCTGCCAGAGGCAAAGAACTTGTGAAATTTAGGAAAAAAAGAGTCTTATTATGAAGTTCTAGATCTCAGAGGTTTCCCTGTATAAACCATGGTCTTAATTGTGTAACATGTTGATACAAGAGGAAAAAAACCAAAGAAAAATGCATAGCATCAACAAAAGAATGGAATACTGAACATTCAGGTTAAAGCAATTTATGGGAGACATTAAGAGAAGAACTGCTGGCTATGACATTTCCCCATTAGGTAGCCCACTAGCAACCTCCATAGGATTCTCCATCAGAAACTGCTCAACAGTCTTGCATAGCCTCTGAAGACTCTGGGGCCAAGGGATGCTAAGGGAGGGAGGATGCTAAGGTCCCTTTCACCCTAATGCCTGTCAGGGCTCTCAGGAAACAGGCAATAAAAATCTTGTCAATTCTTACAATAATATGTATAAAACTAACATTCCCATTTACAGAAGAAGAATCTGAGACTCACAGAGTTTACTTCCAAGGTTATGAAATTACACAATAGAAGAGTTAAGATTTAACTTTGATTCCAAATCTTGTCTTTCCATGTATTAATGCACATCGCAAAAGAACAATTGGAAACCACAGACATTTCATGCAAAAAGATTTAAATGTTCTCGCTTCACACTGTCTTTTTAAGAAACTAACGAAATTTACATTTCTCTATCTGATTTCTTGTCACATGGCAATGGCTACGAGTTTAAATCAGCAGCAGAATCAAGATACCTCTGCAGACTGGGAACCTGGCACAGTATCTGGCTGAAGGTAGGGTTCAGTATTTAACTGCACCAAAACTTCCATGAGCCATGCAGTTTTGAGTATCCAAAGTCAAACCCACACATTGAGTCGATTCCAATGCATAGTGACACTATAGGACAGAGTAAGCTATCTCTTAAGGCTTCCACGGCTGCTGCTTTATGGAAGCAGACTGCCTCATCTACCTACTGAGGAGCAGCTGGTGATTCAAACTGCCAACCTTTCCATTAGCAGCTGAATGCCTTAACTATAATGCCTCCTTAGTTGTTAAGTCATTATAAGATGTGACTATTCAGTATATTTGACAATTAGAAAGAAAGAGGGCAAAGTAGGAATTTTTAAAAGAAGTAAAGGTTCATTTTACTACTTTTTATAATTTCATGAGTAATTTGACTTTGATACAGCAAAATAATTATTTCATTGTCATGAAGTAATATTTAAAAAATTTCATTTTATTTAAAATTAACCCTCGTGACAAGATGTCAATTAAATTTTTTATAGCAGTTATTTATCTCAGTGTGTCTTTGATTCTTACCAGTCCCAACTACTGACAGGCTATGCAGCCAGCAATGACAAACCTCATTGACAAACACGGAGTACCGGGCTAAGATCTGAAGTGTGAGCTTCCACAGACGGTGTACAAGCAATGGTAAAAACATCTCATCTGACCAACACTTTCTAAGGCTGTTCCATGTTCTGTGGGAAGCCAAAAGGCAGTATGAACTTCCAGCTAGACAAAAAAAAAAAGGAAAAAAAAATTTAAGAAAGTTGAGCCAATGATGTGCTAATGTACACTTCAAGAGTCCCGGAAGGAGTATTCTGAAGAACTATCCAGAGCTGTAGTTAGCTTTTGGTAAAGCCAAACCTACAAGATTTGTTTCTCAAGGATTCACATAAATAAGTGTCTCAGTCGAGTGTCTACTCACTCAACTCACCGCCATCGAGTCAGAGGTAGTCTTTCAGAAGCTACAAATCAAATGGTACGAGACTGCCCATCTTTGTCCCAGGAGTAGCTAGAGGCCTGGAACTGCCTCTGTTTGAGTTAGAAGCTCAACTCCTTACCCACAAGGACACTAGAGCTCCCCAGTATTTACCTGACATAATAATTTTACATGCTATTATCCCCCAAGGAAATTCTAGTGGCTAAGTCCATGAGGAGCTGCACTGCTAATCAAAAGGCAGAGCTGCTCTGGCAACTGGAACTGAGCAGTCGCTCTACAGGAGAAAGATGGGCAAAAACCTCCCATGTGAATTACAACCTCTGAAAACTTGGTGGAAGGCCAACAATGAGTCGTTTCTGGCCTGATAGCAATAAGATCAGTTTATTATCTTTCTTTCAGTTTATTTTCTTGCATATATAAATATTAAACAATTACAGCATTCAGAAATAATTTAGGGAGAAGAGAGTGCAAATAGGTACTGGTAGAGTGGGAGCTACTTGCAAGGACTTAAATCTTCATTTTGAACTTATCTTCCTTCATTTTTCTACTTACCTCTTTCACCACCTTCACTTACTTAGTAATTATATAAAGAGAAGCAATTAAATATGTCCATTTTTGGCAAAGACAGATGAAAACTAATTCTGAAGAGAAATAATTCAATACAGGTATGATAGTTGATTCAGATGCACAAAAGACAGTAGAAATTTACGCCAAGGAGCCTGGAGCTGATGTGGCTATAGTGAATATAACATGATACAAAATAAATGGCGGCTGTGAGGATGTGTAAGCATGTTCTGACAAGTCTGTTACACGCCCACACTTTCAGGCCTAGGGTCAGGGTATGGGGAGCTTTCAGGTTCCAACAGTCATTCTGGAGGAAGAGGAATGAGCTCACTTGGCTTTTTATTTTATATCACAGAAACCAGTCTCCACCTAGGAAGAAATCACACGGTAGCTATTTTGCTACTAAAAAGGGTTTAGTATTTAAGTATTCTATAGGCTATATCATCTTGATTTGCTATATGTTCAGGAATAAAAAGAAACTCTGCTTATGTATATTTTAAAACATTTTATCATCTTTATAAAGCAAGAAGCATCTACCTTAAGCAATATGCTCTATAAATAATTATTATTGGCTATTTGCCTCCTATTTTCTTTTAAAGATGTTAAACTGAATGTCTTTAAGGTTCAACTTACTATATGATAAGAAAAAGTGTTATGCGATAAGAATGTATTAAAGTCTAGATGACATGGACTTAAATATCATAGTTAGTGATATCTTACAACTTATTACTCTAAGGAAGTTACCTGGAGCATCTTCTAGCACTTCTGTAAGTGCTGCTTCTAAGGATCCTGCTATTTCTCTAAATCTGAGACAAAGCAAGGACACAAATTAGTGTTTTGACAGAGACTGCCTACACCCCATTCATTCTGTTCCCTCTAAACACTTACAATAAATCCAACATTATCAAAGACATTTTGCTAGTACCAGATACTTCTCCCTAAGTTTTCTTTTTGAGAAGGAAATAACTCCTCTTGACTAAGCCTCCGTTAGGTGGGAATTTCTCTGTAATTTGAAATTAATGTGAACCACAAACAGCACCATGTTTTTCAATTTAAAGCTGTCCGTATTAGTCTCCATCAAGAAGTGTACAATTTGATGGGTGGGGGGTGGGGGTGAGGGAAATTGGAAGACTCTGTTTTGGAAAACAATATATTTGAATTCTGTAAATAAACTAGTATTATAATAAGAGATAAAAATTTAAAAAATAATACTTTTTTTTAAAAAAAAGAAGTTACTCCTGACAAGGCCCGCTTGCTCTAACCATTCCATATATTCCAAAGCCAAAGAACTTTGTTTTTTTTGTTCTATTTGGTTTGTGGGTTTTCCAGTCTCCAAAACTGGTGAATACAGTAGTATTCTTAAAGGAAAATAAATGCTTCCAAACTGAAAAATGAGAACACAGAAATCTGCACTGATTTGTACACTGAGGACAATGAGTAGAAGTAGCCTATAGACATTAGTACACATCCTCTTCACACTTTCATATCATTTGTTCCTGCTAGCCAAATGCTCAGGACTACTGCTCAAAACTTCCTGACTGGTGGCTGAACCACTGGCATTTTGGAGCATTCTATCATTGACTTATTTTAGTGAAATGAAATGGCAATATAGGTATTTTAAAATTACCTGTGTAAGTGGACATGCGGTTAGGAACCTCTCTAAAGTATTCAAGAGCAACGGTGTCTCTCTGGAGACTAAGGTGCACCTGATACAGGCCATGGTTTTTGCAATCATTTGTTATGCATCAGAGAGTTGGACAATGACTAGGGAGGAGAGAAGGAGAACTGACGCCTTTGAGCTGTGGTGCTGGAGAAGAGTACTGAATGTACCATGGACTTCCAAGAAAACAAATAGATTCATCCTAGAGAGGGTTAAACCTGGCTGCTCCTTGGAGGCAAGGATTCTGGGGCTTCGCCTGACATACTTTGGACATGTTGTAAGGAGAGACAGGTCTTTAGAGAGGGACATCATGCTGGGCAGAGTGGAGGGACAGCGCAGGAGGGGAAGACCCTCTATGAGGTGGATTGATTCAGTGACTGGGGTAATCGGGATGGGTGTGTCAGAGGCAATGAGATTGGCACAGGATAGAGCAGGGTTTAGGGCTGTTGTACATAGGGTCGCTATGAGTCGCAAACGACTCGACGGCACATAACAACAACAACAACAAGTGGACATGCCATTTCCTAGTTATACAACTTCTTCATTTCTATTCTTCTCTGTATCAGGAGACTTCTTTGCCACCTTGCTGGTTCTTCACTAGCACTAATTTCTGACACAAACTTACGATCACGTTGTCTAACTGATCTTTTGGGTTTTTGCTACACAGGTGCTATTTAAATGCAATTCAGAGGTCAGGTCTAAGGAAATTGTCCAAAGAGAAAAAGGACAACAATTCATAAAAATAGCTGCAGCACCTGTCCCTATTTAAACAGCTCAACAAAGCTAAAAGCAGAAGATTTGAAGACTACAAGGAACTGTAACTAGTCAGCTTCCTGCAACTGTCCTGTCTGCTTTGTGGAAGGAAAGAACTATTTTGATTGCCTAGTGAAACTTCTGAAAGCCTGGGTTTTTCCAAGCAAAGGTTGAGAGGCACAGAGGAAACCAGGAACTAACAGAAAAGTGGAATATGAGAAGGCAGTCAGTCTGAACAGGAGACAGACACAGGAACAGCAGCGAGGAGAGACTGGGATACTGACAACTGTGAAGAGAAACCAGACGGGCTGCTTGGCATGAACCTCTATCTCAACTCTGGGCCCTCCAGTTCCACCTTTTCAAAACCTACACCAAACACAAGAAACAACTATCAGTACAGAGGAAGCCTGATAGTTAGCAAAGTATTATTTATAACAGGGAAAACAGAAAACAACTTTAATCATTATAAGAAAGGAAGTAGTTAAGTACCATATGGTACTTTCAGTGGACTAGGACAAAGTTTTAAAAGCAATTAACTTGACTAGGAAGAGGGAGTTCTGGTGGCATTAGTCCTATGGGAGTTGAACTGCTTCCCCATAGGTGACTTCTCTAGAAGTCTGAATCCACCAGAAGCTCTGCAGGAGAAAGCTGGGCACTCTCTTCCTGTGCAATATACAGCCTCTGAAAACCCTCTGGAGAGTAAGCTATGAATTGGTTTGAACGCTATGGCAATGAGGGGTTTTTTTTAATCTCTAGGGAAGCAGTCAGCCACATCTTTCTCTGGAGGAGAAGCTGGTAGGTTAGAACTGCTGACCTGAGTGTTAGCAAATAAAAGAGTTTAACTACTGCACCCCCAGGGCTCCTTTAGGTAATCTTTCATTGCTAATATCTTGGAGCTGAGTCACAGCTGACCCTCCAGGGAGTTTCCGGGAGGTTGCCAAAACTCTTGGAAATATAGAGTATTTCCCATCTTTCTTCATCAGAGCCATTGGTGGATTCCAACTACCAGAGAAATGTAGCCTTTGGAGTTAGCAGAGCCAAAGACCATGCCACTAGGAATCTACAAGACTATGCAGGAACTAAAACACTAAAACCCACTGTCATCCAGTTGCTCTGACACTACAGTAAGCATGAAGGTCAGGAATCACCCACAGAGTTCCAAGACTGTAAGTCTTATGGAAGCAGACTTCTGTGTCTTTCTAACACAAGTTGGCTGGTAAGGTCAAACTACCAACCTCTGGATAGCAGCTGTATTCTTTAATTGCTGGACCACCAGGGTTCCTTCATGTAAGAAAGAATGCATGCAAGCATTTCTGTACTTTTAAATTTAAGTTCTGGAAAGGTCCCTGGACACAGCCCTCAGTGAACATCACAGTTCTAACATTACAAAGATTCTGGAAAAACAATGGTTAAGAATTTTACTTTTTATTACCTTGCAATATCAGATACCCTTTTGAATGCATACAGCTAAAATCTTGTGAATGCAGAGCCAGTCATAAAACTGGCAGAGCTTCAAAGGAGTTGAGAAACTCAAAAGGGTCAGAGGAAGCTAGGCTGAGTGACACAGTGGCTAAGGGCAGAACTCCAGACCCAATTTCCTAGAGTTTCAGGTGCCATGGTGGGTATGAGGTGCAGTATGAGGAAAAGGATGAGAAGAACGTGGAGGCAGCAGACAAAAGGACTGAGTGGCATTAGAGATAGAAAGTTATCTAACTTCAAACCTGAACTATAAGAAAGCGTAAAATGTAAGGACTCTTTCTCTTCTGAAATCTTATTCTTTAAAATATTGCTCCATTACTTTAAATTTTACTCATGAATCATAAAGGCTTCTTGCTTCACCTTTATTGATCATATAACTACCATTTCCAATGCAGTGGAAGAATATCTTGAATATGCAAATTGTTAATTTTCAACTGAAACATAAACTGTACACTGATTTAACCTTGAAAATCTAGCCAATGAAACATAGTACATGAAAGGACATACCTAACTATTCTGAGAAATGCAATTTCACTATAAAAAAAGATGATTAAAACATCTGTAATCAGGGCTAGCAATTATAACCAAAGGTACCTAATTCTTACTATGTTTTCTCTGTTATTTTCCCTTGAAATATTAGGGGATAGATTGCATCATAATTAATAAGAAGCAAATAGCAATTTAAACAAAAAGCTTACAAGTCTTCAAAGAGTATGTCAACTAAAATGCTTCGTTAACAATATTTTATGGAGAAACTTAATGTTAGCTCATTTAAGAGAATTTGCAACATGCCTGTTATCATCTATTTTTGCTGGTATCCTAAATTTCCCCATGTATTCTAAAGAATCATTTACTGACTTAAGTGTTGCTACCTTAATAGCTGTAATTTTTTACAGGTCACAACTATTATTTATAAAGGTAACAAAATAAAAACTAGGAGTCTCATGCACTGATAGATAAAACTAGCTGCAAAAATCCCTTATGTTATACCTCTTCTCATACTCTCAACTCTACTGAGAAGAAAGTGTTTCAAATGAAGAATGGGCTCATTACTTGAGGAAAGTGAAAAGAAAGGAAAATATAAAGAGTGGCTATGTAACTTCTATATTCTCTATCAATGAGGATAATCCTGAAACTGGTTGTAAAACAAGTGAACTTGATGCTGGCCTTGGAGTCCAAACTGCTCCAAGGTCTTTTAGTATTAAAAAATAAAAACGATCTTTCTGTTATCTAGAACTTCAGCAAGCATAATAGTACTTTCGTATTTTCACTTTAAAGTTTGTCTCTTGAAGGATAAAATGAAGATTATAAAGAAGGTGCTCTTAATTAGGCACAATATCCCCAACTCAAACTCAACTCTACTTTAAAAGGGTGACAATGATGTGCAAAAACTACTGACCTTATTTGAAAATAAACAGGCAAGTTCCATTTATTATTGAAACTATGATAGGCAGGATGTGCTCTTAATCTTTTCACACTGGCCTGTGACCCACATTGTACTTCAAATCTTCTTACAAAATCCATACTTATGGTATACTTCTAAAATAAGAACAGAATTTGAATTATGAGCAAACTAAACAGAATTAGGAATATATATTATAAAATGCAACCAAAATAAAGAAGATCAGCACAAAAACAGTTTATACAGATGATAGAGCCTGAAGACATCCTCTTCCATGCCTTACAGATAAGGAAGTGAATAACCAAAGTGGTCACATGGCATGCTCAAGGTTTGCAGTGGCAATACCTGTTCTGAAACTCAAGCACTCTAAGTCTTATCTCTTTAAAAGACAAAATTCCAGCTCTCATATTCTACATCTTTAAACACTTAGTCTATTGAAATTAGAAGAGAAAGTAGAGTAAGTAGTATAAAATTCATCACTATCTCCCCAAAAAAATGTTTTTAAAGAGGGAAGAAAGACAGACTGACAGATAACTAAACCATAAGAATAATCTTTTTGCTGAACATAGAAATTCCATATGATCCAACTATTCCATTGGTTGGAATATACCCTGAGAAAATAAGAACAGAGGCATAAATGTTCATAGCAGCGTTATTCACCATCGCAAAAACATGGAAACAGGCCAAATGTCCAACCATAATCGAATGGATTGAGAAATTATGGTACATTCACATGATGGAATACTATGCAACACTCAGGAGCAGTGATTTTCTAAATTACTACCTAACTTAGGAGGGACTGGAGAGCATTAGGCTAAGTGAACAAATTCAGTACCATATGGACAAATACTGTATAAGACCATTATTGAAGAACACGTATGAGGATCCAAGGGGGGGAAGGAGGGAGCAGAGGGATGAGGTTGAGCAGGAGGTGTGGGGGGTGATGAATTATAAGGTTTCAAAGTTTGATGGGTGGAGGGAGGGATGGATAAAGGAAATGGGAAAGAGCTAGCATGAAAAACAATGTACACAAACTTTGTAAGTAAACTAGTATAAAGGAAACAACATCTAAATAAAAAACTTTTATTTACTATGTATCTATGTAGACAATGACTAGGAAAGAATGAAAGAAAATGAATGCCTTTTAATTGTGGGCTGAAAAGTATATTGCTATATACACTGGATTCCAAAAAAACCCAAACAAATCTCTTCCAGAAAAAGTGTAGTGAGAGTGCTCCTTAGAAGCAAGGAGCTCTGGGTATGTTATCAGGTGTGGCCAGTCCCTGGAGAAGGATATCATGCTTGGAAAAGCAGAAGTTCAGACAATAACAGGAAGACCTTCAATGAGACGGACTGACATAGTGATTACAAAAATGGACACGGCAGAGATTGTGAGGTTAATGCATATGGGAAGGGTTTTTTCCTGTTGAACACTGATTTGCTATGACGTAAAAGTCAACTTAATGGTTGTGCTTAGAATTATATTATTAAATCACAGGACCATCCTAAAAGGTAAGTACTATTGTTGTTACATACTATTTAGATGGAGTCGACTCAGTTGACCTCCACTGGGTTTTCAGCAGCAGCATTATCTACCACACAGGAGAAGACTGCCCATCTTTCTCCCATGGAGAAGCGGGTGGATTCCAATTGTGAGCCTTCGGGTTGATTCCTTACCATCACCAGAGCTATTATTACTTGTCTTATTTTACAGCAGAAGGTTACCTTTTCTGTTTAAGCCCAGAGAAAATATACCCAAACAACAAAGTTAGGTAGTAGAAAAGAAGCAGAAGACCAGTCAGTAGATAAAGCAAAAATGTTACTGCAATAGGAAGTACATTCCTTTGATAAGTACTCTTCCCAGATACCCAAGTTCTGTGGGACTTTGTATATACTTTTAAATTTGAAGAGGCTCAATTTTAAGTTACCAAACTATTAAATTAAATATGTTGATGACTATGCTTGACCAGGAATTCCAGTGCAGAGAAAATGAAAAGTTTTGTTTAACTGGCTTTGACATGACACCACGGTATATCCTTAGTACAGTTTAGATGTATGAGTTTGAGACAAAGAAAGGTATTGTTCCTCCCTTTGGGTTTGACAATACTCATCAACATATTTAATAGTTTGGTGACTTAAAATTGAGCCTCTTCAAATTTAAAAGTATATACAAAGTCCCAAAGTATTCCCCACAGAACCTGGGTATCTGGTAAGAGTACTTATCAAAGGAATGTACTTTCTATGGCAGTTACAGTTCTGCTTTATCCACTGACTGATCTGCTTCTTTTTCACTACCTAAAAGGAAAGGGCAGGCTTCAGAGCTATTGTACATAGGGTCGCTATAAGTCACAGGCGACTTGATGGCACATAACAACAACAAGAATAATTAAAAGATAGGCTGTTGTTGCTGTCTGCCACTGAGTTGGAACCAACTCACAGCTGGCCATCCAGTGGGTTCTCAGAGGCAGTCAATTAGCATGGGCAGAGACTGCCCACCCTCCCACACAGCAGATGGTGGATTCGAACCAGTGGAAGTTGCAGAGGAGGTTCTTTATATCACCGGGCCACCAGAGCTGTCTATATGATTATCATATAATACTTAAAAAAATCAAGAGGAGGAACACCTAGAGGGTTAGCCACACAGGTAGCAAGCAGGAGAGCTGCTGTAACTAGACAAACATGGGTCCTCTTTCTGTCAGCTGCTGTTTCCCCAATTATGACAGAATGGGTGCTAATAGTCACGTAATTTAGTTAGTGGATCCAGAAGATAGTGAAATACCTCTCCAAGACTGCCTTGTCACTCTCTATGTGGCCAGAGGCTTTATACCTTTGTCAGCTATTATTCTCCTTGACATATTATTATCCCATGTATAAAGTAACAGGACTTTCCATTATTGTTGTTAGGTGTTGTCAAACCTAGTGACCCGATGAACAACAGCTCTGAACTCTGGCCCTCACAATCCCTGACACATTCAAGTCCATTGCTGCAATCAGCGTGTTAATCTACCTGTTGAGGATCTTCCTTTCCTTTGCCTCCACCTTTCCAAGCATGATGTCCCTATCCAAGGAATAGCCTCTCCTAACAACATGGCCAAAGTATGTGAGATGAAGACTTATCATCTTTGCATCCAAGGAGCACTCTGGCTGCACCTTCTCCAAGACATATCCCTTTGTTCTTTCGGCAGTCTATAAGATTTTCAGCACTCGTTTTCAACATCACAATTCAAAGTCATCAAATTTCACTATCCAGCTCTCAGATGCATGGCAAGTGACTGAAAAGGCCATGGCTTGAATCAGATGCACGTTGGTCCTCAAACTGACAGCACTGCTCTTCAATAATTTAGAGAGGTCACTGACAACTGACTTTCCCAGTGCAATACATCTCCTTATCTCTTAACTGCTGGTACCAAGTGTAATGACTGTGGATCTAACTAAGATAAAGTTAGACTTTGGACTTTCCATTGGAAAAGACAATTCACACATTACTGAGAAACCATGCCAAAACACTCAGATTTCTATAAACAGTGCCCAATTCAACAATGCTAACTTACAGAACACAACCACCTAAATTTTTACAAACAGAGCCCAAAGAAAGCAAACAGATCTGTCTTGGAGAGGGTGAAACCAAGTTTTTCCTTGGCGGCTAGGATTCTGAAGCTCCATCTCACATACTTTGGGCACATGGGGATAAGAGATGGGTCCCTCGAGAAGGGCATCACTCTCAAAAGGGTGGAAGGACAGCACAGTAGATGAAGACCCCAGATGAGATGGACTGATACAGTAACTGGGGCAATAGGGATTGGTGTGTCAGAATCGGTGAGAATGGCTCAGGACAGGTTAAGCACTATTGTACACAGGATTGCTATGGGTTGCAGGCACATAACAACAATATTTCTCTTTAGAGAGTGACAGCGTTTCTCATTAAGAAAAGTGATTTACTTTTTCAGGGACCAATGGTATGTATGTATGTATCATGTCAGCATGAGAGTCCAACCTTACTCTTCCAAACAGTAACATTTGCACAGGATACAGAAACATAGTCTAATATTAGGGTTTTAATGGCCCCCACACAAAAGTATTTACAACCCTAGGTCAGCCACCTTACAGGTACACAGAGAAACAAACAATGGGTCTAGAGATATGGAGGCAAACAATTTGCTAAATCAAATTACAGGGAAGTTACCCAGTTATGGGAAGTGGGACTCAACAGTGTTCAGGGCTTCAAACTTCATTTCATCCTATCTTGTGCTGAAATTAAAGCACAGATCTGAAGTCTATTAATACTACCCTTTATCAAAAGAGCTTTGGTGGTTCAGTGGTAAGGAATTGCACTGTCAATGCAAAAGTACACTGTGTGAATCCACCAGCTGCTCTGTAAGCGAAAGATGGGCAAATTCCTCCCGAGTGACTTACTGCTGCTGAAAACTCACCAGAGGGTTAGCTGTGAGCCAGTTCCGAATCAATGATATTCAATAATGACAACAACAACTCTTCATCCAACAACTTGACTTCAAAGCACTTAGCTTGAGAATCTTTACTGATAACCATGGTGCTAAGCATTGCCTTAAAAAACTAAGACAACGGGGGATACAAATATCAATTTAGTTTTGAAATATCAACTGTGAAATATTTTAAATTGTATCATCTTTTTTTTAAATATTAAGGTCTCTCTTTTCTTTGACTATGCAAGGGCATTTAACTGTGTGGATCATAAATTAAGGCTAACATTGAAAAGATTGGGAATCCCAGAATACTTAATTGTGCTCATATGAACCTATACCTAGACCAAGAAGTTGCTGCCCAAAGAGAGCAAGGGAACACTGCGTGGTTTTAAATCAGGAAAAATGTGTTTCAGGGTTGTATCCTTTCTCCATACCTATTCAATATGTATGTTGAGAAATTCATTTGAGAAGATGGACTCTGAAGAAACTGCAGAATCAGGAATAACCTGCATTATGCAGACAACACAACTTTGCTTGCTGAGAGTAAGAGGATTTGAAGTACTTGCTGCAAAAGATGAAAGACTACAGCCTCCAATATGGATTACATCTCAACATCAAGAAGACAAAAAGTTCTCACCATTGGGGCAATAAACTACATCATGATAGATGGAAACTGTAAATTATTTTATCTTACTTGGATACACAATCAATACCCTTGGTATCAGCAGTCAAGAGATCAGGAGATGTATTGCACTTAAAGTCTGCAGTTAGGGACCTCTCCAAATTACTGTGGAGCAATGATGCCAGTTTGAAGGCTAAGGTTTGCTTGATTCAGGTCATACTCTTTTCAATCCCTTGCTGTGCATTTGACAGCTAGACAACAAATAAGGAGAACAGAAGAACTGATGCCTTTGAGCTACAGTGTTGGAGTAGCTGAATATCCATGGATGGCAAACAGAACAAAGAGTTATGCTTTGGAAAAAGTGCAACCAGAGTACTCCTTGAAGACAGGGAAGGCGAAGCTTCATCTTATATACTTTGGGCAGAAGAGATTATTCCTTAGAGATATCATACTTAGAAAGGCTGGAAGTCAGTGAAGGAGAGAAATATCCTCAATGAGATGGACTGAGGATCCATGCATCCAATCATGCAGCAATGGGCTCAACTGTGTCAGACATAACAAGGATGACACAGAACAGAGTTCAGATGTGTTGCTCATTTGGTCACTATGAGTCTTACTTGACTGGAAGACACCTAACAACAAAAATCTTTCACCACTACAAGCATCTGAAGTGTTCTATTTGAAAAATCTACTGTTAACAGTATCTTCAAAGTGCTAAAGAATAACACTGAAGACCCAAAGGCTCTTTTCAGAGCCAAGGACTCTGGCTAAATCAATGGACATGAGCTTCTGAGACAGGTGAGGACTCCGGCTACACCGACGGACATGAGCTGCTAAGACAGCCGAGGACGCTGCCTACACCAATGGCTGTGAACTATGGAACTAGGCCACAGTAGTGACTGAGCTGTGGACCCAGGCCACTCTGGTGGTTGGGAGATGCTAACTCTGGCCACACTGGTGGCTGTGAATGCTGAACCAGCCAACGACCCTGACCATACCAATGACCATTAAGACCAAGGAAACAAGTTAGGCTTTCTCAGGGGTGAGTGTTCCTACTAGGGTATGAAATTAGTTCATACAAATTTATAAATTAAAACATAAATAAATTGCATTTAACTGTTAATACTTATTATGAATGAATGAATCAGTATGTTGTGATGAATTTAAGAATTGCAATGTAGATAAATTTCAATTATTGTTATGAATTAATGAATCACTAAATTTTAATTGGCAAAAAAAAAAGAATAAGGATATCTATTTAAAGAGTAAAGTGTATCTAAGCCATTATATTTTCATTTTCTTCATAGGCATCTGAAAGTTGGTCAATGAATGAGGAAGATGGAAGAATAACTGATGCCTCTGGATTGTGGTGCTGTGGTACTGAACATCCCATAGAATGCCAAAAGATCAAACAAGTTAGTCTCTGAGGAATTGCAACCAGGGTGCTCCTTAGAGACAAAAATGTTGAAAATTCATCTCCTACTCTGGGCATGTTATGAGGAGGTGCCAGTTGTTGGAAAAAAGACATCAAGTGGCAAAGATCTGAGAAAGAGACCTCAACTCTCACAGAGACGGACTGACACAATTCACTGAAGCATGTCAGAGACGGTGAGGCTGACACAGGACAGAACGGGGTTCGGATCTGCTGTTCACAGGGTTGCTGTGAATCACAGTGGACTCAGCGACACCTACCAAGGACTTCAGCTTTTAAATGACCTAAGATATATATATATAAAATGTAATTAGAAATAGAAATCAATAGTTTTTTTTCTTTCAAAATTATATCATTTTATATAAATAGAGAGATAGACCTAATTTTTCAAGAGAAACAATTTTCAAAGATATTGGCTTTTAATGAGTCTTGATACAACTGTGGAGTGCCAGTAGTATAAGTTATAATGTATCAGGTTACTAAATGAAAAGCCTGCAGCCAGATCCATCAAATGTTCTTGGGGGAAAAGATGGGTAGTTTATTGCTGTAGAGATTTATAGCCCCAAAATTTGGATGGAAAGTTGCTTTGAGCTGGAATCCACTCTGTGGCAGCAGGTTGGTTGGTTTGTGCATTACCTTCTAACTTGTTGGAAAAGATTTTATCTAGATGGACTTACATTTACATTTTACATTCTACTTTATTCTTAAAAGAATCAGAACTTTTGAATCTGGTGTGAAAAACAAATTCTGTATATAAACTAGAATTTTTTTAAAAAAAGAATCAGAACCTACAACTTAAATGAAACAATAAAGCAAGCCAGGTTTTTAATTTGAATAACCATAGAACTAAGACTATAACCATAGAACGAAGACTATAAAATAAAGAACAAAAGTTGTCTACAGCCTTTACCTCATGAAATGCATCAGGATTCCCAGGATTAAAAAGTGATGGCAATTTTTCTTCTAATCCTTGTACTATTTCAGGCCAGACAGAATTCACCAAAAAGTCATAACCAGGAACAACATTGCCTTTTGCACTGTAAGAGAAGAACAACATTTCTGTGAAATATAGCACAGTTTATTTAGAGAGAGCACGTTTTCATTGGGATGCTTCTAGGTTCCTCATCCTGCAACTTATTTTAACTTTTCTAAAAAACCTATTTGTTTTTAGAATCAAATTTCTGTTTCAACTCTTGATCTCAGTCTCACTTTGCACCTGACAGGTATCCTGATTCTTGAATTTCTCACACATTAGGTCAATGTGCTTCAACAGAACAAAGACTGTGAAGGTATTGCAGGTTAGGCAGGGTTTCACGCTGTGGTTGAACACAGGGTCATGATGAGTTGGAGGTGAAGTAGGCTGGGTGGTACCTAACAAACAGGAAGAGCAAGCTGGTGTCTTAGATAAGACACACACTCTATATAAAGTCACGCTGGTATGGTTTTCCTCTCTAAAATATTTTATCGACCACTTTACATTCTATCATGGAAAAGAAGAATAGTCCCACAAGAAAAGCAACTTTTGCATTCAATCTGAACAGTTAAACTCTAAATAATTTTTAATTATGCCAACTTACTACTAATAGCTAATATTAAGTTTGATAGGGATAGGCAAATCAGAAATTAGCTATCTAAAAGACGGAAATTAGGGCATAAGGCATGATATAGCTGGCTTACATGCTTTCATGAAGGAGTTAATAAGATGATTGAAAGGGGGTAAAAAACTATAATATACATGAACAAAATATAATGTAAATGAAATGAATTATATAAATAAAGCTTTAAAAAATATAGTGAAATAAATAATAACTCATTCAGGAGGATTCTAGAATTGTCAGGATGGGTCATGTGGTCAAGAGGGACTAGTCCTGGGGGAAAAACCATCATGCTGGGAAAGGCAGAGGGTCACAGAAAGAGAAGAAGACTTTCAACAAGATGAAATGACATAGTGACTGTAACAATGGGTTCAAGTATGTCAGAGGACAGTGTTAAGACAGGGCAAGTTTCTGATCTTCTCTGTAGGTACATGTGCAGTTTTTTTTAATAGGAGTGTTAATAGTCGAGTATGATTTATGGGATACTCAGAACTAAAAACAATGACAAATTAATAAAATACTACACATCATGGGCTAGATTGAAAGACATTATGCTGAGTAAAACAACTCAGTCATGAAAGGACACAAAATGCTTAAGAGTGATAGGTGAGGGTGGGTAAAGGAAATGAGAGAGATCCAGTGGGGATCTGGAAAGACAAGGTAACAGTGGACCATAGTTCAATGATGATTAATTTTATAAAGCAATGAATGGGAATGAATGTATGAAACACAATGTATATTAACTTTATAATAAAACCAATAAAAATGTTAAAACAGTGATACTGTTAAAATAGGAGAGTAACTGGGGGTGGGGTGGGGAGAAATAGAATGTATAGTCAATGAACAACAGTGTAAATGTTAAAACATCAATAAAGCTTGAAATATCACTGAAATGTGGGATAAGGGAAGTATCATCTAATGCATAATGCAACATAACTTTCAAATAGTCCACCATAGTAAATTCAAACTTGAAGATAAGGAAGGTCCTTGTTGGCTACTGAAGTTGTAAAAAATTAGCTGAGGGCAATAATTGAAGCAAATCACCTCAGAACTACAAGAGAAGTTGCAGAAGAACTCCAAGTCCATTTTATGGTTACTCATCATTTGAGTTAATTAGAAAGGTGAAGAAGTTAAACAAATGAGTACTTCACAAATTCACCTAAAATCAAAGCAATTATCACTTTGAAGAATTCTCAGCCCTCATTTGTTGGAATAAAAATCAATCCATTTCTTCACATCATTGTAATATGTGATGAAAAATGGATCTTCTTTGACAACTGAGGACATTTAGAACAGTGGGTGGATGAAGGTGAAGTGCCAAAATAATGCCCCAAACCAAGCTTTTACCCAAAGATGGTCATGATTAATTAAAAAACCAGTCATGATTAATCCACTACCACTTGCTGAATGCACCAGAGCAGTATTATGAAATGCACAGAAATCTACAATGTTTGTGGTTGGCACTGGTCAACACAGAAGTTCAAGCTTTCTGCACGACAATGTTCAATCACAACCAATGCTCCAAAAGCTCAAAGAATTAGGCTACAAACTCTGCCTCATTCAACCTACTCACCAGACCTCGTACCAAAAGATTATCACTTATTCAAGCACCTCAACAAGTTTCAGCAGGGGAAACTTTTCAATGATGAAAAGTGTGACAAAAAATGTCTTCAGAATAAATGTCTCACTGAATAAAGAACGCTGAAATTTTATCCTACTCTATAACAAACTTGTATCTTGTCGGCAAAAAAATATGTAGGTGACGGTTTGTGCAGAGTGATAGAATTTCAAAGTTGTGATGTAAAATCTGGCATTTTTTTTCAACAATATAATATAAATTTTACATATGAACCCTGTGGAGTTTATCTTTCAATATGCCCTTCCTAGCTATCTGAATCTGACCTGATCATGGGGACGAGTGGCGCTATGCGAACAGGGTATGTTAGCCTGCCCACAAGAGAACTGGCTATCTCATCATTCTATTCTTGCCAACCAACTGATAGCTCAAGTCACAGAATGAGACCTCTCCCCACCACTGGAAAATAAACCTCACCACCAGGAAAAGAGCATCTATGGCTGAACTGGAGACGTAATATAAGATAGAACTACTCTGGAACTGCTACACTACTGGAATTGGAGCTAAGAGCCTTTGCCTAAATTTATTGGACAACTAGGGGTGGGAGGTCATAATTTATAGGTCACCTTTCAAATTAACTCCAAATGATTATTATTGTTACATAATTTGTAACACTGGCTAAGATTGCTTAGAGAAGAGACAATATTGGCAGGACTGAGAACTCCGTAACATCGGCTAAGACTGATGGGGGGGGGCGGGGGAGTACAATATTGGCAGTACTAAGAACTTTGTAACACTGGCCTAAAGCCATATGGCTCAAGGCTGAGGTGCCTGCGAGCACATTTCAGGAGCCATATTGACTGTATTCTGCTACTGACTTGGATTATAACCTTTTAATCTCCCTAACATAGTTCTGTGTGGTCTATGAGCTATTGCATCAGATCTAGGACCCAGCAAAGCAGTAAGATTGATGTTGAGATGAGTAGAAAGAAGTATGGGGTGATAGGGGACATGTCTGACTTCATGGAAATTGATTTTGTATTATTGATGCTATTGACAGGGACAATCCCCCTTTGTGAAACTGGTAAAGGTCAGATATGGCCATTCCCAAGCAGCCCTTGCTCTTTTTACAATCTCCTTATCAGATATGTCAGCCCCAGATATGTTACCATCAGTTATTTTGTCCCAGTCTGTACACTATTTTATCTTTCTGGAGAATTTTTTTTATATTTTATTATTTTTATTATCTCAGGGATTGCAGTGCAGCTTCTTGCCACTAGGCCACCAAAGCTCCCTTGGAGAATTTTTTTGAAACATATATTGACTTAATCTTTAGAAGTTCCTGTTCATCCATTCAACCTTTTCTAGTTGTAAATTTTTGGCTCTGTATCTTGGTCAATTTATGCTGTATGTTGTTTTGTTATTACATACTGAGTCAGAATCAACCCACAGCTGACCCTCCGGTGGGTTTTCAGAGACAGTAAATTAGAAAGGAGGAGACTATCCATCTTTCATCCTAGAGCAGCTGGTGGATTCAAATGACATTTTAGTTGGCAGTGTAACTCCTCAGCCATCTGAGATCATTGTTGTGTTATGTGCCATCGAGTCGCTTGCAACTCATGGCGACTCTATGTATAAGCGCCCTAAATGCTGTTCCATCCTGTACCAACCTTGTCATCTCCGACACACTCACTCCCACCACCCCAGTTAGAATTGATCCATCTCATCGAGCGTCTTCCTCTCCTGCACCACCTCTCCACTCTCCCAAACATGATGTACCTCTCCAAGTCCCTTCTTGCAACATGCCCAAAGTATGTCAGACAAACTTCAGAATCCTTGACTTCAAGGAGCAGTCCGGCTTCACGCTCTCCAGAACAAACCTGTTTGTTCTCCTAGCAGTCCATGGTATATTAAACACTCTTCTCCAACACCACAGCTCAAAGGCATCAATTCTCTTTCTATCATCCCTATTCACTGTCCAACTCTCCGATGCATAGCACATAATTGCGAAGACTATAGCCTGGATCAGGCACACCTTAGTCTCCAGCCTGGCGTCGATGCTCTTCAGTATGTTGGAGAGGTCCCCGACAGCTGATTTTCCCAATGCAATTCGTCTCTTGATTTCCTGGCTGCTGGTACCAAGAGTGTTGTCTGTGGAGCCAAGGAAACTAGTATCTTCCTTCATTCAATGTTTCAAGTACTTCTTTGTTATTTTCTTTTTAAACTGAATTGAAGAACTGTCATCCTGTTCTGTTACCTTTCCTTCCCCGTTATTTTGTGTCATGTAATTTTCTTTACATAGGTCGTCTAGTTAGATCTGTTCCTAAGTTAGTTCAACTTGTGGGTGGCTACTGTAATTGGTATAGTTTTTCTCACTCATTGACTTTTCAGTGTTTCCTTTGTTGTTGTAGAGAAATCTGACTGACTTTTATATATGGATCTTATATCCCACCACTTTACTAAATTAGTCAACATGGTCCAATAATTTTCTTGCTCAGTCATTAGGATTTTATGCATACTACCACATCATCTGCAAACAGAGATAGTCTGACTTCCTCTTTGTCAAGCTGGATGTCTCTTAGCCCTTTTCTTGTCTTATTGCTCCAGTTAGAACTTCCAATATAATACTGAATAGGAGTGGTTATAGCGGAAATAATACATCATGATCAAGTGAGATTCATACTGGGTATGCAAGAATCGTGCAACATCATAAAAAGAGTCAGTGTAATCCAAACCATCAATAAAATAAATTATTATCTCAGCCAATGCAGAAAAGGTATTTGACAAATTATACTCAACAAAAAAGGAATAGAGAGGAATTTCCTCATCTTAAGTAAGAAAATATATACTAAACCAATAGTCAGCATCACCCTCAATTGAGTGAGATTAATTGCAAACAATTATATTTTTTAGATGAGAATGTAAAAAAATACACTGCAATACGCCATCCCCCTTTCCTTATGAATCAGGGTGAAGTTTTTCTCAGGGAGGAGTGATAGGGAATGGCAAAGGACACACTGACAAAGGAGATTAATCAGAACTGGCTTTGACAAGCACTGTGGCAACTGGAAAATTGAAACAGACATGGGTGGGGGGGAAGAAGAACGAACTGGGGCAGAGGGTAGAGAAAACAGTGCAACAATGAATGAATGAGAACCCAAAATCTCTGTAAATGTTCATTAAAACTAATAAAATTTAATAATAATTAAAAAAATACACTGCTTACTGTATGGAGATAAGAGTTCTTATTTGAATTCCTATTACTGACAATACATTAATTGTGTTATTATGAAAACACTAGGTTCTTGCTATTTCTAAAACATTGTGCCAGGGGGTGGGTTGATGTGGGCAATATAGGAATTGATCACATTATATGATACAAATAGTCCTCAACAAAAGTAAATGCAACATAGAATATAGATGAACTGAATCGAATTTAGACGAATGAAATGTAATTAATGCTGAATATGAAGATTAAAAGAAGTGGTAGTATAGCTGATGTTTCATGTGGAATGCCAGTCAAAGAAGCAAGCAAAGAAAAAGGAAGGGAAGAACAGCAAGAAGGAAAACATGAAAGCATACAAGGATAAGATGGGCTTACAAAGTACACATGAGAACCATGAGTCTGGAGCATAAAATGTATGGAGGGAAAGTTCTATGGCGGAGAATATATGGGTGTGATCATGTAGGATTTAAGGGTACATTTAAAAAGTCAGGTTTTTCATTCATATGCAATAAAAAGCTACTAAAGATTTCTGTAATACTGGACTAAATGGGGATCCTAAGGATGGGGCAGAATATGGCAAGATTCACGATGAGTCATAGTCAACTGGACGATACACAACAACAACCAAGAATACTGGAGAAAGCATGGTATGAATCTCAAAATTCCAAATAAATATGATCAGATGAAGGATGGATTGGAGAAGTGGAAGGCAGGATGTAGGGAGAATCTGTTATTCTGGGCAAAAGAGGAAAAGGCATGAATTAGGACAATGGCATTGGTGAAAAATAAGCAAGTGTCTATAAGACAGAACTACAAAGCCACAGAAATGGAATATAATAGAAGGAACTGAAAAATAATCACAGCATAAAATTCATCAAATTAAACAGCATTAATATT